TGACCCCACACAGCTAGTGCATGTTAAACTCGCTTGGCACACGAACAATTATTTTAGTGGCTGAATTAAGAGCTTCTATTGTCTTAAATTTAAGTTACCCTGGCACTGCTAAGGTTGATTAAGATTTGTTAATTTGCTTCGCCCTCTCGTTGGTGAGTTAGAATTTAAATGTAATATTTTCTGCTTATATTACCTTGTAATTATAAGCTTAATGTACATTTTAAGTAGCTGTTAATCCTACTCTTGTAAGCTTGCTATATCAATATTAAATTCAAATATTTTTTTTTAAATCATTAGACACTGATTTATTATCCAATTAAACCTGGAATTGTATTTTATTAAGTTTTTTCTTACTCTAAAATTTGGTTTGTTTTGTTAGTAATGTTGATAAGCGGTTACTTCTTTAATGTCATTTTCGCAATTATTATTATTATTATTATCTATTTTATTATTATTATTATTATTATTATTATTATTATTATTATTATTATTATTATTATTATATTATTTGTTACTATCTATTATTTATTATTATTATTATTATTATTATTATTATTATTATTATTATTATTTATTATTATTATTATTATTATTATTATTATTATTAATATAATAAATAATCTATTTTGAATTATTTATCGATGCCTGCCTTGTTATTGTAAGCGATACTAATTAAACGTGATTCTCTGAGAAAGTTAACGTAAACAATGCTGAATTACGAGGCTGCAATGGGATTTTTACTTAAATGCAAAAATTTGCATTCGAACGTATTTTTTAAATTCTTGCAGAACAGCATATGTTTTGAACTTAGAGAAAAATAATGTGATGCATAAAATTTATAATGTACAATATAGTTTTGCTTATAACGATTTTTATTTGAGGTTTAGAAGGCAAGGGATTTCAAGGAAGCACTTTTAGGTGTGGTCAGTGTGATGGAGACAAGAGCTGGACCCTCGCGAGCGGTCAACATGCACTAACTTACTGAACTCGCGTGCACCAGAATCTAAACTCTAGATTCATTAGGAGAATCTCTAGATTCTCTAGTAGAATCTCTAGATTCTCTAGTAGAATCTAGAGGGTTAATGGCAAAATTTATTTTCCTTATTCAGCCATGCATGAAAGTTACGCCACGCAACCTACACGTAGTTATGTCTAGTTATATCGAGAGCATATATTTATATTCATAAAACATATATGAAACATGTATATTTCTCGTCTAGTTTTAGATCTATGCTAATCCTATCTGATTCTTCTAATTACCTGCTTAATCCGCATTAACCTAAAATATATTGAGGAACTAGAAACCCCACTTAGCTGGGCATCACTTACTGTATTACACTAAGCTGCCCAGGTTATCCAGAAACTAACATGACGAAGCCTAAATGACATAACCTAAATGGCGTTAACCTTTATATATAACTAAATAAGATCTTGCATACGATTTTCATTATGTTAATATTCTGAACTGCATAGACTTCGAGGCAAATTATTGAGGTAAACTTTATTAGGATGGTGATCTCTGTTAATATAACATGGCGTGAGACTGTCCAGTTATTCCAATATTTTATTTCTATATAACCCTTGATAATCAATATTTGGATATATCGTTATAGTTTGTATAATCCAGCTTAATTCAGAAGGGAAATGAAATTCAAAATATTTTTTGTGTTTAAAGTAAGAGTGAGACCTTTTATCTTAAGATGTTCTCCGATTATGTAACATCGTCTTAGTTGTGAAGCTCACTTTTGTTTTTCGTGTGACTAGCAGGCCAGTACCTGCAAGTCACGAATAACTACCTCAATGAATTATTAAATTTATATACCTATTTTTAAATGACACCGAAGGCTCGTATGCTACCTACAACAGTATAGCAACTGAGCAAAGCTATATGTGTTAACTGTCAGTGTTAACTAACAGTACCTCAGACGAGATTAATAAGTTAATAAATATGTTTTAAATATGTATCTACTCTAATCTCTATATCTAAGAGGAACTAGTGAGGTTGTTTTCCTGCTCTAGCCGGCCCTTACACTTTCTCCTGTCTTGCTCATCCCTCCACTACCTTCCCTTCTTAATGGGCAGTGAGCGCGGAGAGGCTGGTCCAGCGCTACATCCCAATACTTACGACTGAAGTTCAGATTGATTGACGCGGACACCTCGCCATACTTGTTCTTAGCCTTGACCTTGTAGAGCCCGGCATCCTCCTCCTCGACGTCGTCAAGGATGAGCTGCACGTCGTGGATGTTTCGTCCGGTTCCTGGTTTAATAGTGATCTTGATCCTGGAACTTTCTTTCACGGACTCCTCTCCACGGAACCACTCGATGGAGGGTTGTGGGGAGGCCGAGAGTTTGCAGTCGAAGATAAGTTTGTTACCATCATCCTCCTGGCGGAGTTTAGGCTTCTGGGTAAAGCTCGGGGCAAAGTTGTCGCCCATTGCCCCCTAGTTTCGGAGCTGACACTCTCCAACGAAACGTTAAGGTCGACAATACATCAAGGGATCTGTGGGTGGAAAATCCAAAAGTCAGTCACAGACTCAATTGACATAGTTTACAATTCAAAAGGGTTTAGAGGTTCATTAAAATAATAATAATAGTAATATGAAGTATTGATTTGCGTTTACTATATGAGGAATTACATTTCATATACAAGAAAATGGAAGAGAAAAGCTTGAATTTACAGACATTATATACACTGTATCATAGTTTCTGCTGTAGAATATAATTAACCACCCCACTGACACTGATGAACCACCTTAGTTCGTCATTAATATCACAGTTGTTACTGATAAACGTTCTTAGCTCATAATTAACCACATAGCTCATAGTGAAGAACCTATTTACATCATAAATGACATCATAACTTACATTCCCAGCCATATCTGTTCATACAGTGTCACTGTTCACACAGAGGCACATCTCTTCACACTTCACAGTGCCACTAATGTTCAAACAATGCCACATCTTTTCATATAGTGCCACAAATGGTAACACATCTGTTCACACAGTGCCACCAACGCTCTTACAGGGCCACTAATGCTCTCACGGTGATGTATCTATTCATGTTCACACAGTTCCGTATATGTTCACTTAGTTACACTAATATTCCCACAGTGGAGGATATAGCGTTGGACTGGTTGGTATTTTTGTTCAATAAATGTATGAAAGAGGGGAAGGTACCTAGGGACTGGCAAAGTGCATGTATAATTTCTTTTTACAAAGGGAAGGGGGACAAAAGAGATTGTAAAAATTATACTGAGAATTAGACATAAGACAAAGAGCAGGACTGCAGATGAACAAGGTTATAGAATGGGTAGTGGATATGTAGATCAAGTGTTTACAGTGAAGTATGTAAGTGAAAGTTTTTAGAAAAGGGTAGAGGCTTTCTTTGCATATATGAATTTAGAAAAGGCATATGATAGGGTGGATAGGGAAGCAGTGTGGCAGATGTTGCAAGTGTATGGAATAGGTAGTAAGTTACTAAATGCTGTAAAGAGTTTTTATGAGGATAGTGAGGCTCAGGTTAGGGTGTGTATGTTACACGAAGAGATGGAGATTACTTCCTAGTAAAAGTAGGTCATAGACAGGGATGTGTAATGTCACCATGGTTGTTTAACATATCTGTAGATGGGGTTGTAAAAGAAGTAAATGCTAGGGTATTGGGGAGAAGGGTGGGATTAAATTATGGGAAATCAAATACAAAATGGGAGCTGACACATTTGCTTTTAGCTGATAATACTGTGCTTTTGGGGAATTTTAAAGAAAAGTTGCAAAGGTTAGTGGACGAGTTTGGGAGGTTGTGTAAAGGTAGAAAGTTGAAAGCGAAGATAAATAAGAGTAAAGTGATGAGGGTATCAAACGATTTAGATAAAGAAAAATTGGATATCACATTGGAGAGGAGGAGTATGTAAGAGTTTGATGTGTTCAGATATTTGGGAGTTGACTTGTCAGCGGATGGGTTTATGAAGGATGAGGTTAACCATAGAACTGGTGAACGAAAAAAACGTGAGTGGTGCGTTGAGGTATTTGTGGAGACAAAAAAACGTTAAATAACAAAAAAAAGGCACAATACCGTGACTGGAACGATATGCAAATAACCCGCACATAAAAGAGAAGCTTACGACGACGTTTAGGTCCGACTTGGACCATTTACAAAGTCACACTAACCAGATACGATACGATACGGACTCACAGGTAAGTACCCACGAGGGGGGCGAGGGGCAAGTGGGGACAGTGCGAAGAATAGACGGTGAGAGGAATGTCTTGAGTCGAAGAGAGAAGAGTCAGGACTAGACCCAACTGCTAAGCCTGGATAAACAATAACGAAGACGACAGAAAGACAACCGGGACTCTGCGGGTGCTGACTGCAGCTTGCTGGAACCACATCAACTTGCAATGACTGGATACGGTTCAGGGACACGTTACTGCAAAGGCGACGCAAACGCACATCACAAGCACTTCAGCCCGAAAACGCACAAAGACACAGCTCTACGGCAATGGCACTTTTAAGTTATTTGAATTTTTAACCAAAAGTCAGGTAATTTATTTGTATTGTGGTGGAGGTGCCGGATCATACAACGATTGAAAAAGATTTACATCATTGTAAGGACGTCTGAGAGTATCTGCTAAGTATGTAGTCCAGTAGTCATGATACGCTTCAAGTCTGTCAAGTTGTTTGTCACTAAGTGTCTTCCAGTATACGTTCAAAGCTGGTGTGTTTGTCGTGAGGTGGAGAGATTCACTGGTGGCAAATTCGTCCCACCTCACTCCTAACACCCAACGTAATGCACGATTCTGGATACGTTGAAATTTTAGTGCGTTTGTCTTGGCGATTAACGTCAGAGCGAGTGGAAAGTAAGAGAGTAGAGGACGAATGAGTGCTTTGTAGAGATGTAATTTTGTCTTGGGACTGGCTCCTCTCAGTTTATATAACCTTGAGAGTGCAGTTCTAGCCTGTGTGGTCTTTGCAGTAATGTGAGATTTTAGGTTCAGTGTGTGGTCGAGGGTAATACTAAGGACAACTGTCGAGAAGGAGCGTGGGATAGGGGTACGGGAGGTGCTTGTTTTGAGTTCGACAGGAGTGGGGACATCACGCATTCTATGGAAGTAAGTGATTTTTGACTTGTTTGGGTTGGTTTTGATGCGCCATAATAATTCGCAGGCGGTAATCCTGTCGACCTCTCTTTGTGTTCTGCGTGTAAGGAAACGAAAGTTTTCATGTGCTGTGAGTTGAGTGATGTCGTCTGCGTAAGAAAGGGTAAGTGTGTTTGGGTACAGAGGTTCAGGTAAATCATTCGTGTAGAGTATATATAGGGTGGGAGACAGGACAGAGCCTTGGGGTACACCCGCTTTTAATGTGAAATAGTCAGAATAATGATCTCTGAACCGTATACGCATCGTTCGGCCATCTAAAAAGTGACATAATAATTTCATCATATTTACAGTTAATTCAAAGGACGTGCAAAGTTTGTATTTTAATCCTTCATGCCAAACAGTGTCAAAAGCTTTCTCTACATCTTTGGCGACAAGGGCGGAGGTACAGTTCTGGGCTTTATTGATACGTACATAGTTCAGGATTATATTTAAAACGTCTTGGGTAGATCGTTGTTGTTGGAAACCGAATTGTCTTTCAGTAAGCAAGTTATGTGTCTCTAGGTGAGTCCTGAGTCGCATATTTACAAGTCGTTCAAAGGTCTTACCCAAAATTTCAAGGAGGCTAATAGGTCTATAGTTCTTGGGGTCAGTCAAGTTTTTTCCAGGTTTTGGTATGAGACATGCAGTTGCAGATTTAAAGAATGGGGGGAAATAGCCAGATGCAAGAGAGGCATTAAAGAGGTCAGTGATAGCGGAAGCAACAGAAAGTGGAAGGTGACGAAGGACTGAATGTGATAGACCAGAAGCACCTGGAGCTTTTTTCGGAAGGTGTGTTAGTAAGGAGTGAACATCATTTACAGTAAAAGGAGAATTTAGAGGATGCGTGGAAGATAGGGTGTTTAGGTTTATGATTGGATCAGGATTGGTTAAATCTTCATGGTTGGATACCCATCTCTCTATGTCTAATGTATGTGCTATGACAGCTTGGTCTGGTGGGTGTGGGTGGAAGATGTTTCCCATATGTCTTTGAAAATATGTACAGCTTCAGCAGGGTCAGAGATCTCTGTTGTTGTGATTTATGTGTCTAAAGGTTGTGGATCGAGGGGTGCCTGTAAGTTTCCGAATGGATGACCAGAATGCTTTGGGATCTCTTGTACGCTGTACATCTGTTGTGTTTATAACTGATTGCCAATGTCGGGCATGGTCATCATCTAGGCTATGGATGATATGTGTACGTAAAATAGTGAGGTCCCATCGGATGATATTTAGTCTGTTTTGGTTTGCTAGGAAACGGTGTCTGTAACATGTGAGTAATCGTTTTGTTCTTTCTGATGGGCGAAAAGAGTAACGTACTTTGTGGTGTGTCATTGGGACAACCTCTGTAGCGGTTTGGGTAATTGATTGTTGAATGCGTTGAATTTGTGTGTCTATGTCTGATACTGGTCTATTGTCATAGTTGTGTGTGAGATCAAGAGTGTTTAGGCGTTGTTTTGAACAGATCCCAGTCCGCCTGAGAGTAAGCTGGAGAGGGGCGAACTGGAATGAGTATAGGATTTGAGGAAATATGGAAAATGATAGGAATGTGGTCAGATCCAGAGAGCGGTCCTGGTGTTATGTAGTGATGTAAGCGATTACTAGCTCTGTTTGTGAAAATTTTGTCCGGGGTGCCTTGGCCATTGTATGTAAAGACTGTTGGGAAGTAAGGTCCAAGGTGTATAAGATGTTTCTGTGTTACAAGTGTATGAAGTTGCCTTCCACGCAAATTTGTGGAGTTGTCATGGAAGTCTGTGTGTTTGGCATTGAGGTCGGCAAGTAGGTATACAGGGAGATGTGTATAATTAAAAAGAATGGTTAAATCATGAATGTTAATGTTTTGGTTGGGTCTGGTATATGTCGTGTACAGGATGATGGGTCCGTGAATCGTGTAAATTTTCACAGCCATGCTGTGAGAATATGTAAATGGAAGGGATAAGAATTCATGTTTAATGGTGCCTTTAACAAGAATAGCTACGCCATTCCAGTTTTCAGCAGGAGATTGACGGGCTGTATATCCGAAGTGTCTGACTCGTTGATCATCACGCACACACGTGCTGTTTAATAACAACACGTCTGGTTGTTCTGATTCAACGAGGTCAGCAAGAATGTATTTGTTTGCGTTATAAGCTCGTATGTTAAATTAAATAACCTTAAGGGCCATGGTTGGGGTTACTTGATGGTCGGGAATGTAAGTCTTTCCTATTTTGTCTTGCTAACCCATCATGTATGTACCATCACCTGATCTATATTGGGTCGGTTGTGATTTACGGTTTCTGGATTGGGAACGGGAAGGGGAAGGGGAAGATGAGGGGGGCCTGGAGTAGGAGGTGGGACTAGATGTAGTGGGGAGATGAGAGGATGAGTTGGAGCAAG